AAAAAAAAAAAAAAAAAAAGAACTCATAGTGTGGGGTTCTAATTAAATACAGGTAGGTTATTTATTGGGTGATAGTTTCTCCATTTACAGAGTTATCACAGAAAGATTATAGATGATCTAGAAAATACAAATTGGGGGTGGGGTGAAGCTTGGTCCTGTCCTAGCTGAATGTGCCAGGCTTTGTTAACTCCCCATGGGAGGTCTTACCCTTTCTGAGGAGCAGATGGGGCTGGGTTGGGGGATTGTGGATGGAGGAGGATGAAGAAGGGAGGGAGTGGGAACCATGGTTGGTACATAAAATGAATTAAAAAATTAAGTAAAAAAAAAACAAAAACAAACTAGCAAAAAAGAATACAAATCAGCAAAATGAAGAAAGGAAAGATAAAAGTAAATTTGGAGGTAGCTGTGGTTGCCCTCTGAGATGGGGACACCCTTGCGTGCGTGCGTGCGTGTGTGTGTGTGTGTGTGTGTGTGTGTGTACTGAAAGTTCTAAACCTGCCTACAGCCTGTTTAATATGGAGCTCATTTCTTTCCTGTTAGTGGTGTGAATAGGACTTTGGGATGGGTTGACTGCCTTTATTTCTTATTGATTGTATACTAATGCATTTTATGCGTAGTAGATAATTCATTTACCTAGTTCACTACTAGTTAATACTAGCTCATTGCTAATAATTTATCATCATAAATTATGGTAATATTTAGTTAAGAGAAACCTCACAGCTAAACCTTACGGAGGTCATTTTCACCCAGTTATATTTTTCGGTATTTTCAGGTACAGACATGAAATTGCTCATGATGGGCAGAGGATTTACATCTTGGGAGGAGGGACTTCCTGGACAGCCTATTCCTTAAACAAGGTACTTTTTTTTCTTCTTAAAGAAGTAAAAAATAGGGCTGGAGAGATGGCTCAGAGGTTAAGAGCACTGGCTGCTCTTCCAGAGGTTCAGAGTTCAATTCCCAGCAACCACATGGTGGCTCACAACCATCTGTATTGATATCTGGCGCCCTCCTCTGGCGTGCGGGCATACATCGAGGCAGAATGTTGTATACATAATAAATAAATAAATAAATCTTTTAAAAAAAAGAAGTAAAAAATAGTGGGAGACAATGGACTGAAGCCTGTATCTTTACTAATCAGGATGATTCTGTTAGTTATTTGGATTTTCAAGCAGCTTCATCAACAGTTGTTCTGTGATAGAAGGTTGAACTCAGTGCTCCTGATAGTCACCGTCATCACTGCCGAAAGTCTTTGTGAGCGTGTGGGGGAGGACGAGCACTAGAGAATGTGTAGCTCGCCAGGCTTCTCAGAATGTCACACCCCTTGTCAGTGCACGCTTAGGGCTGACACCACTGACTCCAGAGAGCCAGCTCCTCCTCAGGGCATTTCACAAATGTCACAGTTAGAAATCCCAGAGGCGATCTGTCAGGTGACAGGTGCTTGGACCTTTAAGGGGTTTGTTGGTTTTGTCTTACTCTCTTACCAGTGTTGCTTTTCTTTCTGGCCACAAGAATGCTTCATGCTCTCTGTAGAGATACAAAAGGAGGTAGACAGCACCCAGCACTGAGAGGCAGGCATGCTTCTCTCCTCATTCCAGCTTCTTCTTTTCACTCTTTCTAAAACTGCTCAAAAAAATGTTTATTTTAAAAATCTGATGTCATGGAAATTAAGATTACAGCTATTTACTTGTACATATATATTTTTTTTCTTCCAAGATCCACGCATACAACCTTGAAACAAATGCATGGGAGGAGATTGCAACAAAACCTCATGAAAAAATAGGTAATTAAAAGTATTGATTCATGTTTTTAGCTAATGTATTTTATACTTGTTTTGGGGGGGAGGTAAAGATAATTTTCTTAAGTGATATAGCACATAAAATAGTTATAAAAATGGTGTTAGAAGTTATTATTCTTCAGCTCTCAGTTGTTATTCTCCCTTAGCAACTGAGCAGAGAATTTTTAACATGGATAACTGAGTTATGTGGCACAAGTGGAAAAAAAAAACACACGAGAAATGAGAAATGGAGCTTAGGGGCTGGAGAGATGCTCAGTGTTTAAGAGCTCACACTGCTCTTCCAGAAGACCTGAGTTCTGTTTCCAACATCAGGAATTCACAACCTCCTTTAACTCCAGCTCGCATTGTGAGTTTCTCTGTGGATCTTTGAGGCACACATATGTGATATATACACATACTCATACAAGAATGATAAAAAGAATAGATCATCGGAACCGCACACCTGCCCGTCTGAGTCATTGTCATGTCCCTTCTCCTTTCTGACTTTCTCTGACTTCTCATCAGGAAGGGTTGGAGGGCTAGCTGTTGTTCTCTTGAATAATGGAATTCCTGTATTTATGTGTTCGACAGGTTTTCCTGCAGCCCGAAGATGTCACAGTTGTGTTCAAATAAAAAATGGTATGGAGTCTAAATAAAATTTTGATTCATTTCTGTAGTCTTACCTGCTGAGAATGACTGATTTCCTGGTTAGCTCCTCTAAAGGGGTGCATAATTTTGGACCACACTGATTTCTTTTCTTTTCTTTTCTTTTTTTTTTTTTTTGTTTTTTTGAGACAGGGTTTCTCTGTGGCTTTGGAGCCTGTCCTGGAACTAGCTCTGTAGACCAGGCTGGTCTCGAACTCA